TGTGGCTTTTTTCTATGAGCCCCTTTGCTGACTGCAACTAGGAAAAGAAAAACAGCCAAGACGACGGACAACAAAACACAGGCCAATATATTTCAGATATATTTTTGCTGAAATTTCAATTTGTATTCATTTGCTTTTGAACAGTGAGACGGATTGGGATTTCTTCTGGTGCGATAAAGAATGGATCAGCGAAAGTTTCGATCGATTCAGGTTTCAACCGAATCAGAGAATTAACCATTTCCGCAATCATCACCAAGTATGACACGCATCAAAATATTAAAAAGAAACTATGTATACATTTTAACAGCACCATAGCAAAATATATTTTCTTATCGTTTGCGTTGCTCGCATGGGTCTTTCGGCATTCTTTTGTTTTGGCACGGAACGCATGCAGCAACAGCAGCCTGAGTTATCATGAAATTCAATTTGTTGGGGTTTTGTTTGCTTGGGTGACAGCTCACGCGGAAAGATTTCTTAATTCGCAACCTGAGAAGACACAAACGTCAACTCGAGAGAGAATGCAGGCACCAAGAAGCGGAGAGGTGCAATTAACGCCTTAAATATCAAAAGGCAAACAGAGAAAATACAAAAAAAATACAAAATAACATATTTTATTGTTTTCTCTCCTCTTTTTCTTCTGCGTTCACTGCAGTTTCAACATCTGCCCGCAAACGTTCCTTCTTCCGCTCGTAAGCGTTCTCTGCTTCCACAGGTGCTCTAAACCTACATATATTGTTTATTGTTTACATTAAACTAGTTGCATTTTTTTGGTATTTTAATCCCATCTATTTATAATTATGTTTAGAAGGACAAATTTCACTAGCTGTGTAGACACAGATCTGCTGCATATTGATAGAAAACGAATATATCTGTTCAATCGTATTCGTCACGGTGAGTAAGCAAGGTACTGCTTAGTTGCATAAAGCGTGTATAATATAGCTAATAAACTAGCGGTATATTTGATATATTGTTAGAGAATGTTATTCTTTAGGAATATTCAATTTTTGTTGAGGAGTTCAAACGCACTGCAGCACAGAAAGGCGGATCCGTTTGGATCATGAAGCCGGTGGGGCGGTCTCAAGGCAAAGGTATTTTTTTAATCGAGAAACTCTCACAGCTCGCGTGAGATGCATTATAAATACACGCAACACGAGGGTAGTTCAGGTGCATGAACAGCTCAGACACCAACACACACACAAAATAATAACACAGCAACACTGCAGCAACTACAGCTACAAAGGAAACCAACAAACACAGACCCAAACATCAAAGCAACAGCAGCAGCAGCAGCAGCAGCAGCAGCAGCAGCAGCAGGATGATCACGACAGCAGCAGCGACCGACTTCATATTCTTGCGTTAGCTCCGATGCTGGATCCGCCTCTGAAAGCAGCAGTGTGGTGATTGTGTTTAATTTTATTCTTTTTCTGCTGCTGCTGCTGCTGAACGCGAGGGAGTGGAGGGGAGATGGAAGGGGCCATCGAGGGCCCCCGGAAGGCAAGTGTATTAATAACAATCAACTAACAAAAAACAACGAAGAAGAACAAACGGCAGAAGCATATGTTTGTCAAAAATATATTCAAGACCCACTTGTTGTTGGAGGTCAGTTGGTTTTGTTGTTATTTAATTCGCTTTCGTGCTAGTTCACTATTTTTTCTTTTTTCTTTTGGCGTGCATTACACTTGAACAATTAAATACAGTTTAATTAAATATATTAATTTAATTATATATATATATATATATATATATATATATATAT